GCCACCTTGCCATGGAAAAGTAACACTTTTATCTAACATGCCTGCAACAGGGATAAATAGCATGGATCCTCATATGGGCCACCTATCCTTCACTACTAGTAGGGAACATTTGGGGTAAGAATAGGTATATATTTTTCATACATTTTTCTACACGCAAATGGTCAACAGGATAAGCATGAAAACCTGTTAAATCCTATTAGTGGTGATTATTACTGATCATGATTCTGCAAAGACATCAGAAAAGGAAGGAAACAACTGTCTGGGAAAGAATATTAAACTCTGGTGCAGCAAAATCAGATACAGTAAGGTAGGTGCTGAGTGCACCTTAATATTAAAATGTGTGCTTTAAAATATAGGAACAATTAACTTTTGAATAAGTCTATTTGTGAACTCTCTAACAAATATGAAAACCTAATCAGGTTTTGCTGCTAAGAAAGCTATTACATGTACATGTTTTCTTTCACACTCTGAATGAATGGTACTTTTTCTATTAAATTTTTATTGTTCCATTTTTTCTAGGAAGGCACTGTTGTAATAAATGAACAGAAATGTGTGCATCTTAAGGGTTTAGAATATTTTGAACAAGAGTATGCTTTTTCTTATATTGCAGGTAGTTAGAAATAATAACCATCTGCTTCATGTTTGCCTATTTGCATGATACTTGTTAAAGATAATCTGCATGCAATGTTCTCAAAAATATTGTTTTTAAATGTAGGCAAAAAAAGACATATTTCCAGAATGTATTGTAGAATTTGATTCAAAATAATAGCCAAGAAACCTGGATTCTTTTTTCCAATCACAAAAAATAATTAACATAAATTTCAAAAACTTACAAAGTAGTTAAGTATTTGTTGGTGGAATTTTCTTTAAGAAGTCATGACCATTTTCAGCATGTTTGAAAATATGAACCTTCAGTTTGTTATACTGGAATGAATTTTTAAAAATATTTTTCTCTTCTGAATATAGAATACGCTATGGAATAAAGCATTTATTTTTGGGCATAAAAGTTTTTTTAAAAGATACTTGAAATAAATTTTGTTTTAATTATAATATAAAATGTAGTTTTTTAAAGATCTACAAGATCTCCAGTTTAAGCTTTCAAAATCACATAATAGCTACAATGGAATATATATGAGAGGCTATTATGAACCCATCATTTAGATCAGGGGTCCTCAAACTTTTTAAACAGGAGGCTGATTTACGGTCCCTCAGACTGTTGGGGAGGCTGGACTGGCTGGGTGGGCGTGACCAATTTAGCATGTGACTGGGTGGGCGTGGCCAATTTAGCAACCATTTTGCTGTTGTCCTTCCTAAGATGTCGTTGCTCAACCTAAGGAATCTATTTACTTAATACTCCACCAAGGGGAAAAGAGTGCAAACTTTCTTGCCACTTGCCTAACTTCATTACACCAGCAGTTTCAGACTCCTTAAAATAGGCCATTAAAAAAAGAATAAAACCAAGATTTCCTTCAAAAAAACTCCTGATAATATGTTTCAGATGACCACACAATAAACAAGACTGAGAACTGCATCAATTAAGATTGTAACTAAAACCTCAAAGATGGGCATTGAGAGACATTGGAAGCAGGAGGAAGAAGGCAAGAATCAACACAAGCCCCCCCCCCCCCGCCTCCAATGGGGACCGGACTATAGTTTGAAAAAAACATGAATAAATTCCTATGAAGACTGCACATATCTTTATTTGTAGTCCAAAAAAATAATAATACAATATTTAAATTTTAAAATGAAGAGCAATTTTAACCAACATAAATCTACTACTAATTCAATGGGAAGTATGGGCCTGCTTTTGGCTGATGAGAAAGTCAATGTCCGGTTCCATATTTGTCACTGCCAGTTGTAGCAAGTGATCATCAGTTAATCTGGATCTAGTTGGAGATTTCAGGTGTTTCATTCTGGAAAAAGTCTGTTCACAGACATAAGTGCTGCCAAAGATGGTTTACGATTTTGAGTGCATGATTCCTGAGATTAAGATATGTCTCAGAGGGGAGAGATGCATAGAAATTATATTTAACATATTTAACGATTTAGCTTTATATTAAAAAGTTTACGGAAGCAAACATAAACCTTTGGATAAAAACTTTTTAATTTGTTGTGTCCATGGTAGAGAAAATCACAAAATTACAATTTGCAACCTCTGTACCTGACAAATAGCTTCTTACAAAATTTGGCACAATGGATATGAATCTGTCAAGTTATTTTCAATCCTCTCCCTTTGTTTTTTATTCTTGCAGAATAAAAACATACCTATGGGTTGCAACATGCCAGATCTTGTAAAATAATCCATGACAAGTTTGTTTGGCAAATGCCTGCCAGGGTAATGTGGTACACAAAACTTTGAGGAATTATTCATTGAGGTTATATTGCAAATAATGTGCATTTATGTCAATTATGTTATTAATCAAATAATTTTAAGTTGCCCTTAACAGATATTTTGATTTAATACAACTCATTCTGGATCTTTGGGATAGCATGATACTAGCCACTTTCAACCTCTGAATTGCTGTTTTCATGGCTCTGCTTTGGTATGTAACTGCCTGTGTCATCATATTCTGTATCAGCTGAAGTTTCTAAATGCTCTTCAAGAGCAGCCCCCTGTAGAGCAGAAACTACATCTTACTACTGGGCCGGGGCTCGTTCAGAACCGGGCCGTGGAAGAGGCGAACAAGCCTGCACAATGGATGCAGTTTTACACGCATGCGCAGCAGAGGAACAGAGGACTATGCACAATTCCATTTGTGTGTGTGTGTGGCATTCGTGCCTGCTGCTTATGCAAATGGTGCTGTATGCATGTGCTTGTCTGTCACTCACATGGAACCACCCCTTTTCCTCCCCTTCAGTCCATAAAGCTAAAAATTTAGAGCATGCTTTAGTAGTCAAGAGGGAACTAGCACATGAATAACAATGAGCAGGACCTCTGGTGTGACCAAATGCACAATCAGAAGCTGTGCATCCAAGGATACCCCCAGACTGAACAGTTTTTGTCACAGGTAGTGCAATTCCATTGGACAGCACTAGGAAATACTGACCTTAATTAGGAGCCTTACATTCTCATTAGATAAAAGTTAGTTACCTTAATCTACAAAAAGGAAGAACTGTTGTACCTCTTAGCAATAGAAAACACTGCTGGCTATTGTACTTCATTTTTATTAGCTTTTCTTTCTCCTATACTATTTACTATTTAATAGCTCATACTGGATGAAGTTGTATTAATATTATGTCTGCTGCCAAAATGGCATTTGAACACTTATCTAGTAGCTCACATCTGTTCTGTGAAACTGATGGAAATAAATTTCCAGATAACATTAGATTGCAGCAGCATTTTCTGCTCACTATTGCTCTTTGAGGTAGAATAGCTCTTAAGTATGACTGGAGATAGAAATGGACAATTCATGACAGGATTGAAAAATACCAGTTGTACCTTATGGCAAACAGAATGAGCGAGTGGAGTAATATTGCTGCAAAATAAAAAAAATGGCTGCTTCAATACAAGCAATTCATGAGAAGTATGATTTGTGTTGACTATATTCTACCTCAACATTGTATATACTTCTAAGCATCACAGAAGTTTTTAGACAGTAGATTAAGAGATGGAATAGATTAAGAGATGGGCAATAAGTGGATCCAAAAACCAGGTTCCATGAAAAGAAATGGGAGAAATTAGAAATGTTTGGTCTTAATAGATAAAGCAGTTTTCAAGTTTATGATTGGCTGTCACACAGAAGAATGTCAGAATGTTTTTGATTTTCCAAAAGGGTGATGACCAATAATGGATTTAATCTATTAGAAGGCAGGTTATGATAGAACATTTGAAAAAAAATCTTCCTTACATTAGGAGCAATCTGATAATGGAATTACCCAGAGGATAGACTTCTGTTTACTGGATGCATTCAAGCAGAAGCCACCAGTCACCAGTTAAGGCACTATTTAATTCAGGTACTTGCACTGTACAGAAAACGAAACCCATGACTACATGGCTTCTTCAGCTTTATGATTCTAAGTCTACAAAGATGAGGCTTTAGTGATTAGAACAGGTATCCAGTGTGGGTAATGCTTCATATTCTTTTATTTTTCTAAAGCCTTAGTAATTTAAAAAATGGAACAATTCTTACCTAGCTTGTACAGCATTTTGAACTTTCTCTCTTTTTCATCACCTAGCCATCAGCTATTGTTATCAGCTATTAAAAATTCTGGTAAAGCCATGTGTTCACAACTAATTTGCTGCTTAAATTTTTATAATAAAAACATACTTTCTATTTCCCCACATCCAAAGCATGATTTCCCCCCCATACAATCCTAAAATAAAGGCTTGGTGGAGGTTCTCTTCACATTTCTCAAGATTTCCCTTTGGGCAGGTGCATCTTTTATTGGATTAAGGACAAGCACTTGGTTCTGTGTACCTGTCAAAGATGGCACTCTAGGAGTGGGCCCAGACTTGGGGATGGAACTTTTATGGGTAAGATGGGTGCTTTATGCATATGCAGTACTTCATTCTGACTCTTTAAAAAGTATTGTCTGTTTATATGCAAACTAACTTGGAATTCATATATGCTGAGAGGTCAATACATATAATAAAAAGGACAGCACAGCCTTAACATAAAGTGAGGCGAACAGTTCTGTATGCACCCCCTCCCCCATCTTGAAGCACTTTCCACTGAATGGATCAGGACCCAGTAGGTGTAACCCGGAAGAACCACGCCGCCTGTAACCCCTCCCCACCCGCAAAACCGAACTCTTTATTGGTAAAGTCAGCCCGTTTAACGAAAAACGCATACGGAATTCACCAAGGGACAGACGCACTGGTTAGAAAAGAGTTTTTAAACTACTCCCAACTTGAAAATTGCTCCTTAAAATACTTAAGTCTGAGGCTGCAACCCACACTCACCTCGGGGAGGCGATTCAATTTAAGCGGGGCTACTTCCAGGCTGGGATAGAAATGCACTCGGGGAAGACTTAATATGGAGTCGCCGTTTGCCCTTAAGCCAATTCCCTTCGGTTTTTGCTTCTGCCTCCCCGCTCCCTCGGCTTTCCTTACTCCGCTGGCAGCCCCCGACGCGAGGCGACGCTCGCTACCCAGAACCAGGCCAACCACCGCAGCAAAGGCCTCAGAGGCTGCACCGCCCTGGCGGCGAGCGCACTGCCGCAGCCCAAGGAGCAGGAAGTCCCCATGGCCCACCGAGCCCGGCCTTGGCTGTCGTCACGTGACGCAGCGCGTGGAGCCGCCGCGCAAGCCGCTTCGCTCGGGTCCATTTCGGCCGCGGAAGAGGCAAGCGGGGTGGCCGCTGCCGCTGCTGTTATGCTCGCGCCACGGTGGCTGCTCGCCTCCCTCCTCCTCCCCGGCTCGGCGGCCACGGCGGCTTCCGCGGGTGACTTCCTCGCCCTCCGTTCCAGGCAGCCCCTCCGCGGCGGAAGCGTTTCTGCTCCGGAGACGACGGTAGCACCGTGAGACCTGTCTTGCCCTCATCGCCTTGCGCGCCTGCCCGCTTCGGATGGTGCTTTTCCTGGCCTGTGGGTGCCGCGGGCGGCGGGACTAATATGCTCACTCGGATGAGGTCTGCCATGGCCAATTTGGTGGGAGGCATCATGTCTGGCGGCTCGGTCCCGGAGGCCGGCGGGGGCTTGGATTTGCCTCCCCGCTTTCCCTACGGCAGACCCGAGTTCCTGGGGCTGTCTCAGGACGAGGTCGAGTGCTCCGCTGATCACATCGCCCGACCCATCCTCATTCTCAACAAGGAGACCAAGCGCTTGCCCTGGACCACGGGATACGCCGAGTGAGTAGCCGCTGGGGGTGGGCTGGACCGGGTGGAGGTGTCTGAAGGCAGAGACGCTCCCCTGGGCCCTCGGTTTGCCACGGTGGGGCTCAAGGGAGGCGTCCCGTGCTTGTTGTCTTCCGGGCAGCGAGGACGCTGCAGCAGCACAAGGGGAAAAGGCGACGGCCCGGTCACCGGCTTGGTGGGAAGAGGGCTGGAAGAAAAGGGGGGCGGGGCGCTACTTTTCTGAACTAAAGGCAATGCTTAACTTTTCAAATGAGAACCGCTCAGACCGGCTTTTTTTGGGGCGGGGGGGGGGGGAATCTTGCAAAAGGTCTAGGAAAACCTGCTTAATATACCAAGCCCATTTACTAAATATCAGGTTCAGTTGAAATTTCCTCCCCGAACAAGTCATAGAGGAGTTATTGTATCTTTGTTTTTCTTTCATTTCTCCTTCAGTGGGTGTGAGGCATAGCTGATACATCAGTCCCTCCTGGCTTGCATTCATTCTTAGTTTGAAGCAGGCCCCCTTACCTGTGTGTAGTTTTGCAACCTCGACATCCAATTCTGTATACTTGCATGGAAGCAAGCTTCATTCTTAAATTCTTAAGAAGCATATGTAATACATTAAAGTGCTTAATTATTGGCATGTAGTAAGTAGGTAGTTTTTGCACATGTATGCAAACAAATGTACAACTTATTATAGTAATATTACTAGAATGCTTAAAGAGGAAAGTACAATAAAGAGAAAAAGTGAATAAAAAATAAAAAATCTTGCCATTAGACTGTTTGTTTTTTATAAAACTCCATCATAGAGTAGTGCTCCCTCCCTCAATGTTTTTGCCTTTGCTTCTGTAGAATACCATTTAGTCCAGCAGTTGGTGTGTGTGCAAGCTCCTGAAGTGTTATGGGTGGATAAGATGTCCTGAGAGAATTGTATGTTTGTAGGATGATTTAGCATAGCTTTGTTTTCTTTCTGTTTTGGTAATGGCAAAGTGGTATTTAGCTAAAACCAGCCTCCAATTCCTTTTCAGGCCTGTGCTGCAATGATGATGTCTAGAGTGTTTGTCATTGATCGCTTTCATTCTCAAAATTTTCCATTTTCCCTGCACACGATCCCCTGTCAGTGTGGAAGATGTCCTCCAAAAGTGGAATGAAGGAGACTACAGCCCTTTGCTGGTTTTCCTTTCCCCCATTCTTCACCTTTCGACTGCATGTCTTTTAAAATTATTACTTCAACTGATTATAACCTTTCCTTAAAATTAAAGTTCTAAGACAGTTATTACAAGTATAATTGTTTTAATATGATGAGAATGAGATGCAGCTTTTCAACTGGTAGCAAATAGAATAGAATAGAATGGTAGCAAATGCCTTGAAAGTCTATTGGTTATATTTCTGGGGCTTTAGAGATTTCTGAAAGTTTAATCAAGGAAAGATGATGGGGAAAACCCAGACTTTTGAATTTTATGGTTACCAAATCTAATCCATTTGATATACCGTATGTGCGTGGTGTTTTTTTGTTGAAAATTTTGAGTGCTAATTTAGTAGAAAAGATCATACTTTCTCAGTGGCTGGTACAAGAGTAACATAATTTGTAATAAAATATAGTAACCAGTTTTTCTCTGACTATAACAGTGCAGAATGAAAAGTTCAAGAACTTTTAAACATTTTTTATATTGGAGTGTTAATATAGTTTTAGAGGCTTACCTTCAAAGATCACCAATTATTGGCTAACTTGAGGCAGAGTGCTCCTTCTTATCACAAAGCTGTTCAAGATGTTTGACAGAGGAAAAAAAGTACAGGCTGATCTGAGGGTATTTTTATGATGGGATCTAATTGTCCATTCAGTGGAAAATTTTCTTCATTCATGTCCTTGCCACATATGCAAGGAATGGCTTTATTTTACCCAGTGAATGATAGCTCTTGAAATTGTATTAATGGGTATTGGTCTTTTGAGTGATTACTTCAGGTATTTGGCTAAACAATCAGAGCTAAGAAATAACTAATTTTTCTCCTTTACTCTTTCTTACTTGCATATTCAGGCATCTGAAAGAGTTCTGTTGTATTGACCATATGAGGACAGAACTCCTTGTAAGTCTGTTTTATTGGAATCCCATAATGTGCAGACTTATGTTCAGTGAGTGTTCCTTTTGAACTTATTTCTTTGCATATTATAACAGACTGCAATAGAAACTTGGAAAATGGAAACATTTCCTCTATATTTACTCAAGAATAAACACAGACTCCTGAATATATGTAATAAGCTAACTCTATATCCAGAGAACCTTTGTTCAGAAAACTTAATGCACATAATCACCATAATTCCATGGGTGAAAAGCCATGTTCATTATTGTCTGCAAATGCATCCATTTTGTCTATTACTGCTTTATTGTTGCTCCTCACAGGGACTGTTAAGCAAACTCCCTTGTGACTCACAACACATAGTTCCAGCTTTTAAGAGAGATGATTTTCTACTGTATTGTATCCTTTGTATTACTGTCAACTTACATTTTTAATAGCCTTATAATTTGAGGGCTATTAATAGTTATCTGTATCTATTTTACGCAGTCTCCTACTCAGCAATTACAGTAAATGGATGTTCTGCTCTTTCTTCATCTTAAAGTGCATTATTTAAAAATTGGCAACATTTATTTTGATTGCACAGCTGTTTGATAAAACTACCCAAAGATTTCTAGTTTTTTGTTTTGTTTTGTGCATTCCACTGTAATTTTCTGCCATTTTCGGTCTATTCTTTTCACATTTATTGTCCACAGAAGACAAAAATGTTTAATTCTCTTATTACTCATGTCCATTTCTCATTTAACAGCAATCTGAGAGCTCCAGAGGAACCCTAGAACTTTACCACGTTCTATCATTATAATGAAATTTTTGTCTTGGAGATGAGCCTCAGTTTTTTTGTTTTTGTTTTTGCAGACAGATGAATTGAGTTCTGTCAAGCTTTGACAATTTGCCTGTAATGAAAAAATATAGTTAAGTTTATTTTTATTCTAAAGATAATGTTTAATCAGATTTTACGCCAAAGTCAAAACTGTTTTTTCCAAGCCTGGCTTGTTCTGCTTGTTCTTTTTATTTACACATGGCATCTATATTTGAAATAGCCATTATACAAAATTCCAGAACAAATGCTTATTAATAGCTTTGTATCCTTGATGTATGGTTGAGGATTAATGTATTATTTCATAAGTATGTTTTTATTGAGTATTAAGATAAGCATAGCCCTGGAGTTTGAGGGTTTCCTAACCACACCTGGGTACTCTCTGGAGATTGCTCAAGTTAAAAAAAAACACCTTTGCTTTGAATGTTTTGGGTTATTATAATATCTGTGTTTCATTAAAGTCAGGGAGATCTTGTTACACAGAATTAAATTAAAAGTCAGCTAGTGTTTAGGTTAAAATGTATTTTATTTATTTATATCCTGCTTTTATTATTTTTACAAATAACTCAAGGTGGTGAACATATCCAACACATCTTCCTCCTCCTATTTTCTCTGCAACAACTACCTGTGACATGGGTTGGGCTGTGAGAGTGACTGGCCCAAAGTCACCCACGAGAGGTATACATGAAAATGTATATCTTTTCAGAGTCTGCATTGCTTGTATGGTATGTACAAATATAAACTGCCAGTTCTGTAACAAAGAGAGATGTAAGTGGATAAATATTGTTACAGAAAAAAAGTCAATTGCTCTCATTCAGAGACATAAAATTTTAAAGCTACATTTCAACATGTAGTCAATATAAGTACATTAATGAATTTATCATTAATATTTTTGTGGAAGCACAACCCCTATTGTATTTAATGCCTCCTCAGGTGTAAATTTCATTCGGTACTAGTAGGATTATACTCTAATATTAATATCCTTCTGTTACAATCAGAATAATTTAGAAGAATCAGAAGAAATATCAGAAGAAGAATAACTCAATCGTTCTTAAGTTTTTCTAGAATCTAGACTGTCTATTGTCAAACTCTGATTCTCAGCTGCTGCTTAACTGCAATTCCCATTATTGACTGTATTGGTTGTGGGTGATAAGAAATGTATCCAACCCCATCCGGAGAATGTTGTTTGGACTATGAAGCTCTTAATTGTGCTTTTTCATGTGTCATCTTTTCTCCATCATCAAATGCACCTAATTTCTCTGCATTTTACTTTTAAGCTGTAGAAGGCAGCTGGATTGTTTGCTTTTTCATAGATAACAATAGAAAGGAATCAATTGTTTAATCACGTTTGCTGACATACCAGAAATGTGAACTTGTGACATATTGGGCAGCTCTTTTTTAAATGCAGAAGATCTAGCCGGTTTTTTTCACCATATTTTCTGAGGCTGAAAACTTTATAATGTCATTGAAATTAGGGGTGACTTATTTCCAGGGGAATTCATGGGCAAGTGCATTCTGTTTCCAGGAGGTGATGTTTTGATTAGGACTATTAAGACACGGCTACCTTGTTGTGTTAAGCAGGAGGGCTAATACCTGCCCCTTATTCTTTGTTTTTGTTTTTAATACTGGTGTTTAAACTGGCTTTAACTATAAATATTTTAAAAATTGTTTTTGTTTGTGTGTTTTTAAAGGTTTGTTTAGTAGTCCACTGAGGGGAATGAGGTATGTATGCTTTGTACCAAGCTGAACTGAACTGTGAATTGTTCGTATATGGCTAGATCTTCCATCTGTTGAGAATGGAGGTTATATAAGTGTAATTGGTGAATTCGGTGCAGTCAGAACGGCTATTAATTCGCTATTTTCCAAAAACCAATTTAATGCTTATCACTAAGGGTAGGACTAGAAGTAATCAATAGTAAATTGTATGTAAATCTATAATTATAAATCATAGGTAGAGGGATGCAGCTTCCTTGAAAGTATTGCATTTTAAGAATGGGCAGTAAGAGATTCAGCTGTATAATGTAGTGTTTATATAAAACTGATCCTTACAATGGATGACTGTTTGCTAAGAACCTGTTTGACTGAATAGCTTCCTTAGTAAGGATTCTTCTTGGATTTGCCAATA